AAGGCAAGCTTGGCAATACAGATATGTAGATCTCCTTCCTTGTAACCGACTCTGTGTAACCCTAGCCCCCTCCGGTGTCTATATAAACCGGAGGGTTTTGTCCGTAGGATGAACAACAATCATACCATAAGCTAGCTTCTAGGGTTTAGCCTCTCAGATCTCGTGGCAGATCAACTCTTGTACTACTCATATTATCAAGAACAATCAAGCAGGACGTAGGCTATTACCTCCATCAAGAGGGCCCGAACCTGGGTAAACATCGTGTCCCCTGCCTCCTCTTACCATCCGCCTAGACGCACCCTACCCGAGATCCACCGGTTTTGACACTGACATTGGTGCTTTCATTGAGAGTTCCTCTGTGTCGTCATCGTTAGGCTTGATGGCTCCTTCGATCATCAATTGCGATGCAGTCCAGGGTGAGACTTTTCTCCCCGGACAGATCTTTATATTCGGCGGCATCGCACTACGGGCCAACTCGCTTGGCCATATGGAGCAGATCGAGAGTCACGCCCCTGGCCACCAGGTCAGATTTGGAAGCTTAAACTACATGGCCGACATCCACGGAGACTTGATCTTCGATGGATTCGAGCCCTTGCCGAGTGCGCAGCATGGTCACGATGAGCATGATTTAGTTCTACCATCGGATAGTGTTCGAGAGATCGCACCTGTGGGAGTCCTGAATTAGGGGGTCTCTGGATAGCCGGACTATCTCCATTGGCCGGACTGTTAGACTATGAAGATACAAGATGAAGACTTCGTCTCGTGTCCGGATGGGACTCTACTTGGCGTGGAGGGCAAGCTAGGCAATACGTATATGGATATCTCCTCCTTTGTAACCGACCTTGTGTAACCCTAACCCTCTCCGGTGTCTATATAAACCGAAGGGTTTTAGTCCGTAGGACAACAATCACAACATACAATCATACCGTAGGCTAGCTTCTAGGGTTCAGCCTCTCTGATCTTGTGGTAGATCTACTCTTGTAACACCCCATATCATCAATATTAATCAAGAGGGGCGTAGGGTTTTACCTCCATCAAGAGGGCCCGAACCTGGGTAAAACTTCGTGTCCCTTGTCTCCTGTTACCATCCGGCCTAGACGCACAATTCGGGACCCCCCTACCCGAGATCCGCCGGTTTTGACACCGACATTGGTGCTTTCATTGAGAGTTCCTCTGTGTCGTCGCTGTTAGGCTTGATGGCTCCTACTATCATCGATAGCGATGCGGTCCAGGGTGAGACTTTTCTCCACGGACAGATCTTCATATTCGGCGGCTTTGCACTGCGGGCTAATTCGCTTGGCCATCTGAAGCAGATTGAAAGCTACGCCCCTGGCCATCAGGTCAGATTTGGAAGTTTGAATTACACGGCCTATATCTGTGGGGACTTGATCTTCGACGGATTCGAGCCGCAGCCGGGCGCGGCGCACTGGCGCGATGGGTATGACCTAGCTCTGCCACCAGACGGTACTCCAGAGGCCGCGCCCGCATCAGCTCCAACCCTTAGCTCGGAGCCAACTGCGCCAATCGAGGACGGGTGGCTAGACACCGCCTCAGGGGTTGCAGTCTCGACGGCGATCGAGCCAAACACCAGCATAATCCTCTGCACAGCCCGTGACTCCAATGTGTCGGACTCTCTTCCGGATCCCGAACCATCCGCGCCCCTGCCAATCGAATCCGAGTGGGCGCCGATCATGGAATTCACCGCCGCGGATATCTTTCAGCACTCGCCCTTCGGCGACATTCTGAATTCACTAAGGTCTCTCTCTTTGTCAGGAGAGCCTTGTCCGGATTATGGCCAACATGATTGGGATGCGGATGACGAAGAAATTCGACGCCCACCCACCACCCACTTTGTAGCCACTGTCGATGATTTAACCGACATGCTCGACTTCGACCCCGAAGACATTGACGGTATGGACGATGATGTAGGAGACGGACATGAACCAGCACCTACAGGGCACTGGACAGCCACCTCATCGTATGACATATACATGGTGGATACACCCAATGAAGGCAGCGGCGACGAGATGGCAGAGGATGACCCCTCCAAGAAGCAACCCAAGCGCCAACGTCAGCGGCGCCGCTCTAAGTCCTGCCAAAGCAAAAGTGGTGATACCGGCACAAGAGATAATAACACTCCGGATAGCGCTGAAGACAACAACAATCCCCTCCAGCAAGATTTAGAGCAGGAGGATGAAGGAGCCAGCTCTCCTGAGAGAGCGGCTGGCGGAGAGGAGGAGGATGACAATTACATGCCCCCCTCCGAAGATGAGGCAAGCCCCGGCGACGATGAATTCGCCGTACTAGAGGACCCCGTCGAACAAGAGCGCTTCAAGCGCAGGCTTATGGCCATGGCAAATAGCCTGAAGAAAAAGCAGTAGCAGCTTCAAGTTGATCAAGATCTACTAGCTGACAAATGGACTGAAGTCCTCGCGACCGAGCAATATAAACTCGAGCGTCCCTCCAAGAGTTATCCAAGGCGCAGGTTACTTCCCCGACTGGAGGAAGAAGTGTATGAAACGACTGATCGGCCGCCTCGTGGCCGCGATAGAGAGGCATTCCAGCCAAGAGCTCAGCCTCCACCCCAACGCCATTCAAATAAAAAGGCATGGGGAGATACGCCAGACCCGCGAGACATATTGGAGGACAAAGCAAAGCATTCAAGATCGATCTACGGATCACGAGGGCGCACCACTCTACGAGATGATAAACGTCACGCCGGATACAGTAAAAGCAAATCCGGCCGGGCTGAACACAGCGGGCAGGACCCATTCGAGCCGCGTCACGATATATCCCAATACAGAGGCGCCGCACACCCCTTATGCTTCACAGACGAAGTAATGGAACATCAATTCCCAGAAGGTTTCAAACCCGTAAACATTGAATCTTACGACGGCACAACAGATCCCGCAGTATGGATTGAGGACTTCCTCCTCCACATCCACATGGCCCGCGGTGATGACTTGCATGCCATCAAATACCTCCCACTAAAACTCAAAGGACCAGCGTGACATTAGCTTAATAGCTTGCCAGCAGACTCCATTAGCTGTTGGAAAGATCTGGAGGCCGCATTCCTCGACAACTTTCAGGGCACCTATGTGCGACCACCAGACGTCGATGACTTGAGCCACATAATTCAGCAGCCAGAAGAGTCGGCCAGGAAATTTTGGACTCGGTTCCTTACAAAGAAAAACCAAATCGTCGACTGTCCGGATGCAGAGGCCTTAGCGGCTTTCAAGCACAACATCCGAGACGAGTGGCTAGCCCGGCACCTTGGTCAGGAAAAGCCGAAATCTATGGCAGCCCTCACGACACTCATGACCCGCTTTTGTGCGGGAGAAGACAACTGGTTGGGTCGCAGTAATAACATATCAAAGAACCATGGTACCTCAGATACCAAGGACGGCAATAGCAGGTCACATCACAACAAGCATAAGCGCCGCATTAACAGCGAAAGTACTGAGGATACGGCAGTCAATGCCGGATTCAAAGGCTCTAAACCCGGTTAGCAGAAAAAGCCATTCAAACAAAGTACGCCGGGTCCGTCCATCTTGGACCGTATACTCGATCGCTCGTGTCAAATACACGGCACCCCAGACAAGCCAGCCGATCACACCAATAGGGATTGTTGGTTGTTCAAATAGGCTGGCAAGTTAATTGCCGAAAACAAGGACAAGGGGCCGCATAGCGATGACGAGGAAGAACCCCGGCAGCCGCACACTGGAGGACAGAAGAGGTTTCCCCCGCAAGTGAGGATGGTGAACATGATATACGCAACCCACATCCCCAAGAGGGAGCGGAAGCGTGCGCTCAGGGACGTATATGCGTTGGAGCCAGTCGCCCCAAAGTTCAACCCTTGGTCCTCCTGTCCGATCTCCTTCGATCGCAGGGACCACCCCACTAGTATCCATCACGGCGGATTCGCCGCACTGGTCCTAGATCCAATCATCAACGGATTTCACCTCACTCGAGTCCTTATTGTAGGAAATATGTTGTGGTCTACCCCCTATTCCTCCGCGGTTTTCCGTGGTGCCGCTCACAATCGCATATACGAGGCTAGGGGTAGGGACCTTCTTATACTGCGTTTCCAAAGAGTCCGCCTCTTATACAGTTATAAGATTCCTAGTCTTTAAACTAGTTTCCGGATAGAGTCCAGATCAAACTACCAACCACGATATAATTTGTCTGTTAGCGGATCCTATCTGTCGAGTCCCTGAAGCACGCGCCTATGAGCAACGCGTCATAATAGAGTATAAATTCCTCTAATTATGTAGATCAACATTAGGGCCGTAATCCAATTACACGATCTAGCTTCTTCCAATTATCAGCGTACCCGGGTAGTCTTTCCAATATATAAAGCATATTGTATTCCACCGATAATTGACCGGCTTCCTTAAGCATGCAACACTTAAGTACATTCCCGCAAGAGTAATTCCATGCACAAAACACATGTATAATTCCATACGAGGTATTCCGAATATTAATGATAATAAGTAGTTGAATATAGTTGCAGGACACATAATCCCAACATCTCCCACTTGTCCAAAACGATCATTCAAAAATTCTTAAACCCATAGCCTGAACATGTTTACCAAATACCACCTGACTAAGTGACTTAGTCAAGGGATCAGCAACATATCAGTACTAGGTAGAAACTCTAAAGAAACAGACTTAAGTCTATTAATTACATCACGTATATAGTGATACCTTCCCTCAATATGTTTGATCTTGCTGTGGAACTTGGGATATCTGGAAACCTTTATTGCAACCTGATTATCACAATACACCACCACTTGTTTGCTAGCACTTTCAACAATCTTCAAAGTCGAAAGAAATTCCTTCAGCCACACCGCCTCTTTCACAGCTTCTGACGCAGCAATATACACCGCCTCCATGGAAGATAATGCCACTAAATCTTGCTTCTTACTACTCCAAGATATAGCACCACCAGCTAATGTAAATAGATACCCAGACGTAGACTTCTGGTCGTCCAGATCACCCTACCAATCAGCATCAGTATAGCCCTGCAGCTGTAGATCCTTTTGGTTAAAACAGAGTGAATAATCCAGTGTTTTGAACATAACGAAGAGCATGTTTAATTTGATTCCAATGCCCAATTCCTGGATTCATTTGTTATCTACTCAACACTCTAATAGTATAGCACAAATCAGGGCGTGTGAATAACATGACATACATCAAAGATCCCAAGGCAGGAGCATATGGAGTCTTCTCCATTCTCTTCTTTTCCTCAAGAGTTTTAGGACACATCCCCTCACTGAGTTTAATTCCTACAACCATGGGCACTAAAGCAGGCTTGCAGTTTTCCATAGAGAAACGTTTAAGTATAGATTTTAAATAATTCCTTTGAGACAAACCCAAAGTACCTTTATTCCGATCTCTAAGTATTTCCACTCCTAGAACATAGGAAGCGTTTCCCATATCTTTCATTTCAAATGTAGAAGATAACCAAGTTTTAACTTCTACGAACATTTCCTTACTACTAGAAGCAATAAGTATATCGTCAACATACAATGACAAGAGTGTAAAATTTCCTCCCACTATTTTAAAATAAATAAAATGATCTCCTTCCATCATATAAAACCCATATGATGTGATAGCATCATCAAACAAAATATTCCATTGCCGTGAAGCTTGCCTAAGACCATAAATAGATCTATTTAGCTTACACACTTTTCCCTGATTTTCCTTTTCAACAAAACCCTCAGGTTGAGACATATAAATCTCTTCCTCCAAATGACCATTCAAGAAGGCAGTTTTACATCCATTTGATGAAGTTCCAGATCAAAATAAGCAGTCAACGCAGCAATAATACGAATAGAAGTAAATTTGGCTACAGGGGAAAAAGTTTCCACAAAGTCAACACCTTCCCTTTGTGCGTACCCTTTAGCAACCAACCTAGCTTTGTATTTTTCAACATTTCCAGAAGCATTTAGTTTCCTTTTAAAAATCCACTTTGATCCAATTGCCTTTCGGTCATTAGGTAGATCAACTAATTCCCAAACTTTGTTCTTTTCCATGGAGTTTAGTTCCTCATGCATGGCTTCCATCCATAACTTTGATTCTGAACAAGACATGACATGTTTAAAAGATTTTGGTTCTTCCTCTAAACTAGAAGTTTTAGAGTATACTTCCCCCATAAATACATAATAATCGTCAAGGTATGATGGGGCTGCTACATTCCTCCCACTTCTCCTAGGTAAACTAGTTATGGGAGTCTCAACATTTATGTTGCCATCAGCTTGGTTTTCCTGATTGTTAGAATCAGTTTCAACACTTGTATCTAACGGGTTTGTCAATAATTCCACTCTCGCACGTTTTGCACGGCGAGGCGTATCTTGATCTAGAAAAATGGCATCTCTACTTTCAATTAACTTCTTCTTCTCTGGATCATAAAATCTATATCCATTTGAACCAGAAGCATATCCAATAAATATTCCTGGAAAACTCTTAGGTTCCAGTTTTGTTCTTAGTTGACTAGGTACTCTAATCTGTGCATTGCATCCCCACACTGCTAAGTTCAGCAATGTAGGTTTCCTCCCTTTCCATAATTCATAAGGAGTAGAACTAACAGATTTAGAAGGCGAATGATTAAGCAAGTAAACAACAGTATGAAGAGCCTCTCCCCAAAATGATAAAGGAAGATCGGAATATGCCATCATAGACCTAACCATGTCCATTAAAATTCTATTCCTCCTTTCAGCTACGCCATTTTGCTGAGGAGTATATGGTAAGGTATAATGGTGAACAATTCCATTTTCCTTGCAAAAATCATCTAATATTCCTGATGTGTATTCACCACCACGATCAGTTCTGAGCACCTTGATCTTTTTGTTCAATTGATTTTCTACCTCGGCTTTAAATAACTTGAACATGTCAAAACCGTCCGACTTATGCTTAATTAAGTAAACATAGCCGTATCTAGAGAAATCATCTATAAAAGTAATGAAGTAGACCTTCTGTCCAAATGTAGGCACAGACATCTCGCCACAAATATCTGAATGAACAATAGTAAGTGGTTCAGTAGACCTTGACGCTTTTGGAAAAGGTGCCCTGGTCATTTTTCCTACAACACATGCCTCACAAATGTCGTAGTCTTCCCACTTGAAGTTTAAAATTCCAGAACTAATCAGCCTTTTAATTCTGTTCTTTGAGATATGACCCAAACGAAGATGCCAGAGATATGATTCTGAACAATTATTGTTTCCATCTATATTCCTCACTACCGAGTTCTGTTCAGTCACCATACAATCCATTCTATTGATGTCCATAAAATCCTCAATATAGTAGAGACCATCAAATCTATTTCCTGATTGAACTAAATTTCCATTCATCAGTATTTTAACTTTGCCATCTCCAAACAAGACCTTAAAACCAATAGATTCCAGTCTAGAAACAGATATTAAATTCTTTCTCATGGTAGGGGAATAGATTGTGTCTTTCAAAATTAATTTTCCTCCACCAGGGAGTTTGAGTGTATAATCACCAATGCCCAAAATATCAGCTTTTGTAGTTGTTCCTAGATAAATAAATCTAGTTCCTTTTGGTATGGGTTTTAAAGAGGTGAAACCAACACTATTCCTTGCAATATGCAAAGTGGAACCAGAGTCTACTACCCAATGATCTGAAGCTGAAGTAGTAAACAATGATTCAGAACAAACAAATAGATTGTACGTACCATCAGGAGAAGAATTATCCTTGTTGTGGCCTTGATGCTTGTCCTGCTTGTCCTGGTGCTGCTTCTTAGACTTGTCATCTTGTTTATAAGGCTTCTTATTCTTGCACTCAGTTCTAAAATGCCCATACTCTCCACAACAATGACATCTAAATTTCCTCTTATCAAAACTAGAGTTTGGACCTCTTCCATTATGATCATCCCAGTTTCTCTTCCTGTTGATTTTGTCCCTCAAATCACCTCCTTGATGCTTCTTCTGCCAACACCTCCTATCTTCACCAAGGTGTAACTCCTGATGATGTGACTGTCTCTCTTTCCCTTGTGAAGTTCTCCTATCTTCTTCCATGAGCAAATGATTGTCGGAGTAATTGGACACGGATACCCCGAAGACGGTGAGACAAGAATTCAAGACGTCGGGGCTAGCAAAGCCCCTTAGTCCAACTACCTGGCCGGCGGCTGACTGCTGGCTGCCGATTGCTGGCTGCCGACTGCTGGCTACCGACTGCTCCACCAGGCCGACTGCTGGCTGCTGACTGCTCCACCAGGCCGACTGCTGGCTGCTGACCGCTCCACCAGGCCGACTGCTGGCTGCCGACTGCTCCACCAGGC